TATATATATGTAAGCTGACAGGAGTGAGTGTTTCGATCATAGAACAGTATACAATCTCAAAGACAAAATACACGATGACAATAATATACACAATGACCTGAAGGATACACTGTTCATTCAAGGAAAGGTTTTCCTATGAATGAATTAGTAGAAAAGTCCATTCCTTCTGTGCCTTGGGGATTTTCCTTATGAAAAGACAGTGCTTTTCCCTGCTCACATTCCATGAGGTTGTAAAAGTATCTGGTGTCAGGGTTGCCATGGTTTGGTGTCATTTGCAGACATCCTGGCATCCAGTTTATTGGGTGAGGGGACTGTGGCGATTTGTTAATCTAATGAATAACTGATTTGTTAAATCAAATGAAAAATTGTGTGTTTGATTGGTCCAGACGTTACAATTGTCAAACAATGAGAAGCTTAGCATTTTGGCATTTTGCAAATCTAGCAGCATATAAAACACTCTCTGTCGATCTCTCCGTGGCTCAAAACGCTTAAATTCGTTCCAAAGTTCAGATTTAGCAGAATGTGGAACAGCAGTGAGGTTCTCAAGTCTCTTCTTGAGGAGTTCTTGACATAACAGACTGCCACAGATACTAGCTATATATCACTGCAGCCATATAGATTCAGCTGAGTCACACAGAAGAGAGAGCGAGAAAGCGCACAGAATGAAATAGATTAAAGTTCAATGGCTTAGTAAGTGTGTACTTCAAGGAATCTGTTTCTGTGTGATAGTTTCAGGATAAAAATGGAGAACTGCAATCTTGTTTGGATTGCTAATCTTGATTTAGGAAAAGAATGATGGTCGCGTTCTAGGTGACTTCCTGAAGTTTTTAGGAGACACAATTGAATTTTTTGAGCACATTCAGGTTGATATGTGCTGTATGAATAGAGCTGCGGTCAACAACGTGATCTATGAGCTTAAAACATTGGTTCTCAAAATTTTGGACTCAAAGGCCCCCCGTTGTCCAAAAGGTATTTCCAAAATTGACTGGTATTTCTGCTGTAATTATGACAACGCTGCTTGTTTTCTTTTTTATTAACGTGAAAATATTTTATTGATATTGCATTGGTATATTAAACTAATTACCTGTGATTAATTTTTTGATTTCTGAAGTTTCATGAACCGAATGTCCTTCAATAAAAAATTATTAAGGGGGGATTTTAATTTTAAATCTAATTTAAATTAATATTCGATTTTAATTTAAGTAAACAAAACCATTTATAGTATGAAACAGCATAGTGTCTAGAAGTAATATTTGGACAGAAATTGTCATTATTAAATTGTGGATTTTGTAAAAAGTATAAATATTCCATTTAAAATATACTGAAATGGAAAATTTTTAAATGGTCTTTTAAAATAGGCTATACAAGTTTAATATTATATTTTAGGTAATTAAAATAGCTAAAAGAGATTACAGTGGTGTGGTGGTCAGGCTGATGTGCTTGTGTACAGTGTTTAGTATTAGTATTATTTATACAGTATAGTATTATGGTATTTATTAATATTTTGAAATAGCTTCTATTAGTATATTTTTTGGAAATGGTCTTTGCAGCATGGTCTTTGCAGCAGGAACAAGTCAAGGCTATTGTGAATTATCAAAGAGAATTGACTGTGGTCATACACAGTACTCAACCCTCTCATGTTTGCTGTTATATGTGCAATACACTTGTCACAATGTTATGTTAAATATGGTTGTATGAATATAGCCAGAGAGATTTCTAAACCTCAGAAAAACCTTGTATACTGTACAGTGAGAGTGTGTTTACTCACTTTAACATTCAACATAAAGCTGGAGGCTGAAGCATGTATTTACAGACATAGGAAAGGGAGGGACGGAATTAACATGGAGAACAAAATTAACCCTAACGTCAAGAGACAAATGGGAACTAATTAAAAGGATCCTTGAAAAGAAATTTAGGCACATTCATAATATAATGAGCCCATAGAAATGCGTCTGTAAAATGGCCACCGTCTGGCCAGTCTAATATGATTTGGTTTTGGGATATATGAAGCAGAGTCACAGGCTCATTAAACTCGCCGGTCAGCCGTCCTCTCGTCTACATCAAACGCTTGTCTTCTTCTGTCCTCGCTCACTCCATCCATCACACAGAAGTTCAGTCATATTTTAAAGAGCCTGAGACGAGCCAAAAAAAGATCAGAACAGAGAGAGAGAGAGAGAGAAAACTGAGTTTGTTCAGAGCTTGTTTGAAATCACTCTGTTTGATGCTGTTTTAGTTTGACAGAAGCAGGCAAGTACATTAAAATTAGCCATGTAGTCATGTTAATGTTCATTTTAGATGACGTTTTAAAGCTATTAAAGTTATCCAGCCAAGCCAAGTTGTTTCCTCTTTGTCTTGTCAGTATTGCATAAATACGTATACTAATTTGCTTTAACATTTAACATTTTGCTTTAACAATTTACAGTACAGTTGAAAGAGGTCTCTTATGCTCACCAAGGCTGTATTTATTTGATCAAAAATACAGTAAAACAGTGGTATTATGAAATATTATTGTAGTTTTTATTTTTGTTCACTTATTATTAAAATGATTGTTTTCTATTTTAATGTATTTTAAAATATAATTTATTCCTGTTATGGCAAAGTTTAATTTTCAGCTGAAAATATGCTACAAATAATACAAAGATGTATGAGAAATCCATCAATGGTCAGACACACACACACATTACAAGCAATCTTGTAGCAGTATTTTAGTCTTTAGGAATGTTCACAGGAAACAAAATATTAAGAAAGGGGTTCAATTGTTGAGTGTGTTGTGTGCAGCAGACCCCTGCTGTTACAATGAACAAATGCAATGAGAGCTACGATTCCCAGCTGAGACTAGAACAGTTTTAATGGCAGAAAACAGAAAGGGAATGAGAGAGAGAGAATACAAGAAGAGATCAGAAAACTGGGGCTTGTGTATGAATGTATGTGTGTATGCCTATGTATCAATGTCATTGTTGGGGAATAGAAATGTGCTTTGTCAAAGAGTGTGTGTAGTGTATATGGTTGTTTTTGGTAATGCCATATCCTGGACACTACCACAATGGCAGCACCATAGTATTCTTTGAAGGGCTGCACAAAATAATAATTTATAAATTGAAAGAGTGAGTGACCAAACAATGAACAGTTCATCATGATGATCATTTACTCCCTTTCGTGTCATTCCAAACCAGTTTGTCTCCTTTTGTGGCCTACAGTAGAAGGAAAATCATTCGGACTGACGTGTGGGTGAGTAAATGATGACAGAATTTTCCTATTTTGGTGAACTATTCTTTTAAAAGTCCTCTTACTGTCAAGACATTTACAAGTTTGGATACCGAAGTAGATGCAGAGTCTGACAGCTTCTCATTTCTGAGACGGCTAACAGCCCACACATAAACTGAACCGCTAGAGGAGAGATAGTCAGTGAGAAGAAAGCCAAGAGAGGAGATAATAGAGGAAAATAAGTAAGTTAAAACCAAGGACATCTCACAGGGAACAGCAGAAGAAAGAGTACAAGAAATGCAGTTAAAAGAAAGAAAGAGAAAGGCCAGGATTACACAAACACCAATTCCAGGAGAAACGATTAGAAAGCAGAGTATGAAAAGCATGAGTCATCAACTCCAAAAACTGCTGCGGTCTTTGAATTTATCGAATGATCTCTTTAGACTCATTTAGTTCTTACATCTATTCACATTTCCAGTATGAATCTCAATTGCACAGGTTGCCCATGGTCAGTGATTGACAGTGGCATTTGCATGTTCATGGTTCTTGAGGCAGGACTTTTAAGTGCAAGGTTTCTAAGGTCATATTCCATCTCTGGAAGGTCACAGCCTTAGCCTACTGAAACACACGCTGTATCAAGTTCACTAAATTAGGAGCGACTGTAGTCAACAGTCTCTTGTTTTCTGATCGATTGCTGGGGCTGTAATGTACAGAAACTCAATAGATCAATTGCACACCCCTTCATAAGCCATGAGGAGCTTCTTTGATGCTTTTGTAAGCCATTCAAGTGTCAGTTTTTAAATGATTATTCCTCCTGAGCTTAATCGTGTCAATAGTTGTAGATGTTACAGTGGTTTTTAGTAGTCCCAAAACTGCATTTTGGCCTTCAAGGGCCAGTTTTACTAAACAGGGCAAATTAGCGCCAAGGCACAATTCTGAAACAGCACCTATGGGCGTGGAAATTTCTGCGGGTGGTTTACTAACAACATGCAAATTAAAGAACACAGACGCAATCTCATTTACGTATCGACCAACGCAATATACCAAGCGCAGCACAAATTAGTGTAGTCGCAAATAAAGAATAAAGAAATAAGTACAGTACAGTACAATGAAGGGTTGCAAGAATTTTTGATAGACCTGGTATTGCGTGACTCCTAGTTGAGGGTTCCAAGTCGTCTTTTATTTCCTGAAGCAAATAAAAAATAGCATGGCTTGGCAAATGATATGTTCGGATAATGTGTTCTTCTGGCATTCCAAATAAATTAATACGTGTGAAAAAAATCCTCTCCCTTCTACCACGAACTCTCTGTTTTCTGTGGTGCCTCCCCCTAGCAACAACTATTACAGCCATTTCAAGCGCAATATAGTTTAAGACGTGCTTTTTGGGGTGTTAAATAATGGTGCAAATACCAAATATTGACGAGCACACATGCTAGTAAATCACGTTGCGTGAGTCATTTGAATACTCTATTCCTAAATAAATTTTGCATCTGAAAGGGAAACTCCATGCATATTAAATAAGGTCATGCGCAAAAATAACTGTCCACGCCTTTTCAGCTCTAATTCTTCACTGCGCGTCTTTAGTAAACCCTGACAATAATATTTTTATGCCAAAAGAAGGTTTGCGCTGGCACAAGCTGTTAGTAAAACTAGCCCCAAGTTCGTTATTGTTTTGGGATTGTAACATATTTTGCTCTCTTTTTGCAGGTCTGTTACGTGAGAGTTTTATGGACGAGCCCGAAAGTCTTGTTACGTTGAACCTGCTGGTTGTCGCTGCAGTTTCCGCTTTCTCCACCGGGGCAGCGCTATCAGGCCTGGCAGTGTGCTGGATCATGGGTCAAAAACACCGCCACCGTGCGCACAGCAACACTCCTTCGTCCAGTAGTCAGCGGAAGAACGAGAAGGAACGGTGCATAATGGGACAAAGCAGGAGCGGCTCTGTGATGAGTGTATCCCGGCACAGCGGCACGGACCGGCCTCGTTCACAAGGTGAGACGCTCTTCGTAATGCCGAATGGTTGGGTCAAAGCGGGCGACTTGGATCCAGGTCTGCTTCCCACACCTGAGCAAACTCCCCTGCAGCAGAAACGTGGGCTACGCCTGTCTGATTCCGGATCCAGTTGGGACCAAAGCCAGACCTTCTTGAGCTCAGTGGGAACCCAGTGTCCACCTCCACCATCCACCTTGTTTCTCAGCTCTAAACTCCTGCAAGGATCTGGTCGACGCCATGAGGAAGCCATTGAAACCGGTATCGACCGCCAACGCTATGTCTCTCTCTCCAAGTACCGGGATCAGGGAATACGGCCAGGCACTCTTCTTCGCAAGTCGGCAGGTGAATACAACTACCCCATGACTCCCCAAGACTCCCCTGACCGGCGGAGAGTGGTGTCAGCGCCCAGCACCCAGATAGAGTACAGCGGAGAGCCTCTTCGCTGGACCCACGAAGGCTACATCTTCAGCAGTCATGGCATACCTCCAACGGGCCACCACTACACCCCGGCCTCGCAGCATCCTGCAGGACTGACGCGCTCCATGCTCCACGGGTCACGGGGGCTCATCGACCTGGCGGACTTCAGCCACCTGCTCGGGAAGGGAGGGAGCGATCGGACACCAACAGGCCAGTGAACAGAGAGGAACCAAGATGCGAGGAGTGGGAAATTGTAGAAACGTGAGCGGCTGAAACCTCATGTGGACTGCGGAGCGCAACCTGGCCAATCACAGCAGCTCTCTGTGTCTCTCGCTCTGTTTCTTTCCTCACCTGCTTGTCATCCTTTTCCTCATTTGTCTGGAACTGCTTGCATGAGGAAAAGCCAAAACTGGACCTCACTGCCAAGGATAAGAGCAGCCATTCCTACTGGAAACACCTCTTTCTTCTCTCTATTTATCACTCACAATCACACAAATATGTAGACAGAGATGTGCTTTTCCCTGTAGCTCTCATTCTTACTGACTGACTGTGAGTGCGGCTTACCAAACTTTATTGCGCCTTTATCAGATGGAGGAAAGAAGGGTAGACATCTTGAAGACTATCTATCCCTGAATCTGTTCAGACCTTGACTCTCTTTAGCAGGTTACCCTTTCAGCAGATTTGTAAGTTTAATATAACGACAGCATTTCATTTGGGACAATTGTTAACTCCAAATAAGAGGAAGAACCCAACAGTTTCTTGGAGTAATGACTCAGTGGTCAACGGTGGTTGTTGTTTCTGGTCGATACCAAACTCTAAACAAAGTGCTGTGATTACCGGCGTACAGGACACCCCATTTACATCAGTGTAAATGCTGGAGGAGCATATTTGGACAGGTTAACTGGTCGAAATTAAAGATTTGGAATGAACTTGTACTACGGAATCGCTTCCTCTCCCTTTCACATCACAGTGATTATTGATTGGTTCTAACTTCTTGTAGCTCATAAAAATTTACATTTTCTCCATAACATACGTAGCAGTGTTGTAGTCCTTGAGTCCTACAATACTGGACTCAGACTAAAGTCCATGTCCATGAGCATATTTTCTATGACTGATCGAGACCAGCTCATTCAAGCCCGAGTACAAATGCTCCTGAATATATGGTCTTGGCTTAAGACGGACTTGAGTAGTACACCCCTGATTCATAGAAAGATGAACTGAATCTATTTAAGCATATTAAACGGGAGAATAAACAGAAGCAAATTGCAGAAAGGGCCACATTAGCCAAAATAACAACACTTTCTGTCTCCATCAGCAGCACTTTTTCCATTATAAATGCTTGTGTGTGTGACATCACTACATGTGGGCAGGGCCCCGTCTCATGGTTCGCTTTGCAAGATTCACAGTACGCCAGTTGCATTGATGCATTATTTTGACCAAAATGTATGAAGAGAAAACATGAGATTTTTCTGTTGTATGCTTGGAAATCTTTTGTGTTTTATGACTTGTTCTCTGTCGAGTGATCTGAGGCCTTCACCTCAGTATTACCTCAGCCTTGAATTCAGACTTCACAAGAGAGAGAAACAGAGAGAGAAAACTTTGGTTGGATGAGTTTCGTGGCCTCAACCACGTGAATTTCTGTGTTCTGTGTAGCTCTGTGAGTTTTATCAGAGAAACGAAACTCTCTGAGAACTTCTGAACACACTGGATTCCAAGTCTTTTTTGTCTTTTTCTTTTGTTTCTTCCTTTTTTGTACAGTGAATTTTTTTACACAATATGTAAAATGTAACATGGAACAGAGAACTGTTTGCTGTTTTCTAAAAAGACACAATTAAAGACAGAGAAAGACAGACTCTGTCTTGAGGACCTTTGGACTCTTCTTCCTAAAGATGCCGTTTGACCTTTTGTTTCTCCTGGACTCTGAAGGAGAGCAAACGAGAATGGAAACCCAGAGAAAAGGAATCACAATGCGAGAACGAAAAGGACTGCAGTCAAGAGATGTAATGTGACTTAAAGCCAGTTACGTTATTGGGTGTGTGTTTGTCTGTGAAGTAACCAATCATTTTGCTTGTCATATCCATCATAATACACTTCCCCTCCTTTTTGTATTTATTTGCTTTGGTTTTGAAAGTTCTTCATCATCAACAGGGATCGTGGATTGCAAGTTTTCAGTCATGTGTCCCTAAGGCATTGTGACCTTATATCAGAAAACTAAAAGGGTAATTATCTAAAGATATCATAATCAAATGTACAGAAAAACACTCTCTGGCTCTGTTCCAAACCCTAGTGAGCTGCCTTTCTAAGGCAGTTTCATTCAAGATGGCAGACAGAGTTTACATTTATGAATTTGGCAGATGTTTTATCCAAAGTGACTTACATTGCAATTAGGGTATACATTTTATCAATTCATACATTCCCTGGGAATCTGATCTTGAAATGTTTGAATTATTTAAAAAATAATTGTATGAATAAACAATAAACTTAACGGCATACAACAGTTTGGAAAGGTAACTGACAGAAAATAGTTCCATCTTAATTCAAATCAAGTAATGAAAACCTAAAATGTACTATTTTTGATCTTATTAAAGTTAGCTAAGCTCTGTGTCTATCTAGACACTGTTAATGGAGTTGCTGTCCAAAAAGATTGTTTCAAAAAAGTCAAGTTAATTTTGGTTTGGATTCTGCCTTAAAAGATAGTAGACAACAAGTTGGCTCTCTAGGGTTCGGAAAATAACCTCTTTTTCAACAACTTCCTCTTTCTGCATGACCCACACACAAGCGTCCATCTCCACATAGGCTAGCTTTGTTATTAAACGTCTAATAGCATCAGTCTGTGAGATATTGAAAGCAGATGTCTGATTAGATGAGTTGCCACACACACTTGAGTACACAGGAATGCACTTAATAATGGTTCTCATGCACCTGCAAGATGTGTCTTATTAAAAGCACGTGTTACACGTATCACTTAAGCATACTCTTCTATCCTAGAGAGCACGATCACGCCATTGCTGATGCTCTCAGAAAACACACACGCTTGCAGTTGTGTGCAACGGTCGGTTGAACATTGATTAGCTCATAAATCCAGCTGAAAGGAGAGTCATGGTTGATTGCACTGTGTGTGTGTTTATGAGTTTAAATTACTGTGTGTATGTATTTAGGTCTCCTCTCTTCAGCATTGAAGATACACCAGGCAGGAAATAGGATCCAGAACACAGGAAATAGATCCCGGTAGGCAGGAAATGCATGGATATAGCTGCTTACCTGTAGGTCAAGGACTCTAAAGCAAGTAATCAAATGCAGGAAGTAGCAAATGCGCTATATGCTAATATGCTAGCCATATGTGAAGAAAGAAGCACGTAAAGAAGATATCATATACTTTCAGCAAACATCTCAAAGTTTTCAAGTGTTCAAATTCACAATCTTCAAAAGAAACTGTGTCATATCCATCTTCATAAGTGTTTGCCAACAGAACTCGGAATCGCTAAGTTTGCTAATAAGCTACGAAGACGCCAAAACAAGTGTGACTTGTCGCACGCTATTTGCGCTATTGATACCTCAAATTGATCAGTTTATTAAGATGTGCTGTTACTTTTCTAAGTGATCAGAGTTTAGTTTCTTGCCTGGTGGATAATAAAACAGGGATTGTTTTCTCCTGAAAGAGAAAAGCTAGAAAGCTACCACATAGCAACATGCTAGTACTGTAGAGGCGTGTTTTGCCTGGAAAACCACGGCTTGTATTTTCTTGAGAAAATAGTAGGCCAAGTATAGTTCCCAGTATAATTCCTGACTATTTCTTTCAAACCTCCCCTGTTGAAAAAACCAGCATTTGCTTGTTAGGTATGTTTTGACGCTGGGATGCTGGTTTAAGCTGGTCCTTTGCTGGTTTATGCTGGTTTATGCTGGTCATGTGACCAGCATAAACCAGCATAAACCAGCAAAGGACCAGCTTAAACCAGCATCCCAGCGTCAAAACATACCTAACAAGCAAATGCTGGTTTTTTCAACAGGGGAGGTTTGAAAGAAATAGTCAGGAATTATACTGGGAACTATACTTGGCCTACTATTTTCTCAAGAAAATACAAGCCGTGGTTTTCCAGGCAAAACACGCCTCTACAGTACTAGCATGTTGCTATGTGGTAGCTTTCTAGCTTTTCTCTTTCAGGAGAAAACAATCCCTGTTTTATTATCCACCAGGCAAGAAACTAAACTCTGATCACTTAGAAAAGTAACAGCACATCTTAATAAACTGATCAATTTGAGGTATCAATAGCGCAAATAGCGTGCGACAAGTCACACTTGTTTTGGCGTCTTCGTAGCTTATTAGCAAACTTAGCGATTCCGAGTTCTGTTGGCAAACACTTATGAAGATGGATATGACACAGTTTCTTTTGAAGATTGTGAATTTGAACACTTGAAAACTTTGAGATGTTTGCTGAAAGTATATGATATCTTCTTTACGTGCTTCTTTCTTCACATATGGCTAGCATATTAGCATATAGCGCATTTGCTACTTCCTGCATTTGATTACTTGCTTTAGAGTCCTTGACCTACAGGTAAGCAGCTATATCCATGCATTTCCTGCCTACCGGGATCTATTTCCTGTGTTCTGGATCCTATTTCCTGCCTGGTGTATCTTCAATGCTGAAGAGAGGAGACCTAAATACATACACACAGTAATTTAAACTCATAAACACACACACAGTGCAATCAACCATGACTCTCGCTGGCAAAGGACCAGCATAAACCAGCAAAGGACCAGCTTAAACCAGCATCCCAGCGTCAAAACATACCTAACCAGCATATGCTGGTTTTTTCAACAGGGTCAAGAAACACACACACAAACTGCCTTCAATAAAAAGTGTCCACACATTAACTTGAAAATTCAGTGCCTGAAGCTAATTTTCTTTCTAGAAAGAAGTCCCATGTTGTAAACTAAAATGACTTTAAATGTCCATGATTTTGCCCTTCACAATATTTTCCTGTTGTTCGGATGATTTCTGGTGTGGTTTTATGCCTAACTGCAAAAAAAGTGATGTTGAGTGACATAGATTTTTTTCACACAGTGCCATCTGTATTAATTCTGGTCTATTATTGTCAAAGCAAAGTGTTGAATGTGCTGTGAATGTATTCAAGTGATTTTTCCCATAAGCACTTGCTGTCATAACCCAGTGTCTTTATCTCCGATCATGCTGCAACAAGCACAATACTGTAAAATAATCAAGGCCAACAATGTGTGTTTGACTTTTTCCACAAAGTTTCATTGCTTTTTTGTTCCACATATTATCACATTTATTGGTTGTCACAGACTTTGCAAATGTTGAAGCGGGATTCTTGGATCTCTTGATATCTGGCATTTTGTACGAAAGTGTATATGGCGACACAGATTTGCCTTCGACGTGAAGGGCTGTGTGTAAGACTGAATCAGTGTTATGTTGAGCTGTTTATATAGACTCAGCTGCTCTGTACATAGCTCAAATCCTGATTTCCACCCCTCCGCTGGCGATGATGTAATGTCCCTGTGTATAGAAGTCCAGGGGTGGTATCCAGTAAAAATTGTTTTGTTCGTTTGTTGGTTTTTAAATAATCTCACATGTATAGAAATACACACATATACACCCAGTTTCACACAGGAACACACACGACTCAGTACTGGAGCACACACTTATTTTCAGACGTAAACCAACATGGAGATTTTATCATTCTAATAAACACATTTGATTGTTTGACCTTTGTCTCTGTCTTTTTTTTAAGTAAAAAAGGTACAAATGCTGTCACTGGGGCGGTACATTTTTTTGTACCTTATTTTAAAGGGTGCAATTTAGTACTTTATTAATATACATATTAATACCTAAATTGTACAAACTAGTACTTTTTTAAAGGTACAAACCCAGTGACCGCTTTTGTACCTTTTTTCTGAGTATGCTCCCATTTTGCAGAAAGGCTCACTATAAAGAGTTAAATAGGTGACAGTTGCCCAAGATATTATATAGTTAATTATAAAACAGACTTTTACTACTGTAGCTATTGTAAGTTACTATGCTATATACATATAGGTCGACTATTAACCTTAACCTTACATCAGAGACTGTTTCTACCAGCAGAACGTTAGCATGTAATGAATTATCTTTTAAAAATAAAATTCTAATAAAATAAGAGCCTATATTAATAATTGTTTAATCAAAGTAGTACATCACTTCAAGCCATGCAAAATAAAATAAATTTTCATTGTACTCATTATATATGTCTCAATTTAAATAAAATATTTAATTGACCATTTTAAAAGATGGAAATCATATTAGTTCAATTTAATTTTTCACTACATCAGAATTAACTGAACATAGGAGCAGAAATTCAATAATCTCACTAGTCTGAGCAGATGTTACGATTTTTGTCACGTCTCAATGCATTTCTAAATCAAAACACTGAAAATTATTGCACTCCGAAATATTGCATACTAACATTTTGGGATTCTTTTATGCATACACCATTAATTAAACATTGGAACAAATTTTAAATAATTTGACTACTTTGGTCTAAGCAGATGTTGCCATTTTTATCTCGTCTCAGTGTATTTCTAAATCAAAACAGACAAATTATTGATGTTCATCAAGTGGAAAGGTTGTTGTTTCCTTCATTTGCACGGCACCGTCCAATAGATGGCGTTTCACTGAATGCACATACATTGAAATT